TATAACTAGGATTTAAGGTCAGTTTACACCAAGTTGATATCAGTCTAATGTTTACCTTCCTACTTGTATACCTATGATTTAAAGTCAGTTTACACCAAGTTGATATCAGTCTAATGTTTACCTTCCTACTTGTATACCTATGATTTAAAGTCAGTTTACACCAAGTTGATATCAGTCTATTGTTTACCTTCCTACTTGTATAACTAGGATTTCAAGTCAGTTTACACCCAGTTGATATCAGTCTACTGTTTACCTTCCTACTTGTATAACTAGCATATAAAGTCTGTTTACACCAAGTGGATATCAGTCTATTGTTTACTTTAGTACTTGCATACCTAGGATTTAAGGTCAGATTCCACTAAGGTGATATCAATCTATTGTTTACTTTACTACTTGTATAACTAGGATTTAAGATCAGTTTACAAGAAGCTGATATCAGTCTACTGTTTACTTTCCTACTTGTATAACTAGGATTTTAGATCAGTTTACACCAAGGTGATATCAGTGTATTGTTCACTTTACTACTTGTATAACTAGGATTTAATGTCAATTTACACCAAGTTGATATCAGTCTATTGTTTACAATTCCTACTTGTATAACTAGGATTTAAATTCAGTTTACACCAAGTTGATATCAGTCTATTGTTTACCTTCCTACTTGTACAACTAGGATTTTAGATCAGTTTACACCAAGGTGATATCAGTGTATTGTTCACTTTACTACTTGTATAACTAGGATTTAATGTCAATTTACACCAAGTTGATATCAGTCTATTGTTTACCATTCCTACTTGTATAACTAGAATTTAAATTCAGTTTATACCAAGTTGATATCAGTCTATTGTTTACTTTACTACTTGTACAACTAGGATTTTAGATCAGTTTACACCAAGGTGATATCAGTGTATTGTTCACTTTACTACTTGTATAACTAGGATTTAATGTCAATGTACACCAAGTTGATATCAGTCTATTGTTTGCCATTCCTACTTGTATAACTAGGATTTAAATTCAGTTTATACCAAGTTGATATCAGTCTATTGTTTACTTTACTACTTGTACAACTAGGATTTTAGATCAGTTTACACCAAGGTGATATCAGTGTATTGTTCACTTTACTACTTGTATAACTAGGATTTAATGTCAATTTACACCAAGTTGATATCAGTCTATTGTTTACCATTCCTACTTGTATAACTAGGATTTAAATTCAGTTTACACCATGTTGATATCAGTCTACTGTTTCCTTCATACTTGTATAACTAGCATTTACTTTACTACTTGTATAACTAGGATTTAAGTTCAGTTTACACCAAGTTGATATCAGTCTATTGTTTACCATTCCTATTTGTATAACTAGGATTTAAAGTCATTTTACACCAAGTTGATATCAGTCTATTGTTTACCATTCCTATTTGTATAACTA